TCATCATCATCATCATCATCATCATCATCATCATTATGAATTATTATAACCGATGATGATGAAGAAGAAAATAATACCTTTCTGTCATCACTGAATAACTTTGCCATGTTTAAAGACAGGCTTGACTGTCTACAGCCAATCTATTTTCTGAACTAGTCAAAGATTCCAGAGTGATGGGATAACAGAGGGGAGGATGGGTTAAATGTTGGGTGCTCTAGAATGGGCTAACACAAGCCTTTTGAGAATGAGACAGTATGTCCCATGGTATTAGACTAGAGCTGGGGAGACCTGACTTCAAAAAGGTAGTTCAGCCATGAAACTCACTAGAGGGCCTTGGATCTCTCATTCTCAAGAAGAAAGGAGAAGGAGAAGAAGAGGAGGAGGAGGAGGAGGAGGAGATTGGATTTATACCCCACCCTTCACTACCTGAAGGAGAGCGGCTTACAATCTCCTTTCCCTTCCTCTCCTCACAGCAGACACCCTGTGAGGTAGGTGGGGCTGAGAGAGCTCTGAGAGAACTGCGCATGAGAGAACAGCTCTGAGAGAACTTGTAACTGACCCAAGGTCACACCAGCATGTAGAGGAATGGGGAATCAAACCCGGTTCTCCCAGATTAGAGTCCTGGCTCCTAACCACTACACCAAAATGGTTAACCTACCTCACCGGATTGTTTCGAAGGCAGAATGGAAGGGAGAAGCATGTACACTATCCTGGAAGAGGAGAAACAGAGGATAAATAAGAACAAAGTCTGAGTCCGGTGGCACCTTTAAGACCAACAAAGTTTTATTCAAGGTATAAGCTTTCGTGTGCACCCACACGTCTTTAGCTAAATAAGGAAATTGAACAACTTCAGTGGACCGTAGGAGTGCTACTCCTAACTTTATTCATTATATCCAAGTGCTATCGAGAGAGAGGATATTATTCCTGCCTTGTAGTCTAAATTAAAATGACAAGATAGATGGACGTGGGGGAAAGCATCAAATGACAATAAAGCTTCATGCAGGATAGCGTTCTGTGCCTGCAGACTGAAGCAGGAGGCTTTTAATTTTAAAAAAGCCAGCCAAGGGGTGATGCACATGCCAAGATGAAATATAACAGTCAGTTCTCCATTTGGTTTCTGATTCCAATTGTAGAGGATTTATAGACTGGAAAGTGACTGTTCTGCATGCAAATGGCGTTCCTTTGGCCTTTTCTGTAACAGTTCTAATCACATCCCCCAACTTAAAAGAGAAGCACTTCATAGTGGAAAGTAGAATCAAAGCATCTTGGATCTACTGGTTGGGAAGGGCTGCTGCTTTCACCCAGTGGGTCCAGCTCAGTCCAAAATATAAGATGGGTTTAGGCTAAACCATGTCCCCGCCCAAGGCATGTGACCTGTCCATGCTGTACAAACCCTGGATGTTTTGGGATGGACTGCAGTGATGTGCTAAAGATGCTGTTACAGCAGGCACCAGATCATTGATGTTAAATGGTCCTGCCATCCCGTCATATCCTCTCTAAGCCTCCTTCTTCCTGGGCCAACCTGGTCCAAGTCTACCGAACTAGCATCGGAAGAAAACTTTCTTCTTCTTGCACTCAGCGTATCACTTCCAGAGTGAACATTTATATATCGGAGTCGGCGTGGTGTATGGTTAGAGTGCTGGACTAGAATCTAGGAGACCCAGGTTTGAATCCCCACTCTGCCATGAAAGATCACTGGGTCATCCTGAGTTAGTTATTCTCTCCTCACCTAAATGACTTCACTGGGTTCTTGTTGTGAAAATAAAATGGAGAAGGGGAGGAGAACGGCATTATAAGCTGCTTTGGGTCCCCATTGTGTAGAAAAGCAAAGTATAAATCTAAATGATTTTCATCGAGCCAATACGATATGGTGCTTAGAGTACTGGATGAGGATCTGGGAGATCCAGGTTCAAATCCTCACTGTTGCCATGGAAATTCACTGGGTCATCGTGGGCCAGTCACACTCAGCCTAATCCACCTCACAAGGTTGCTGTGAGGATGACATGGAGGAGAGGAAAATGATGTAAGCCGCTTTGCGTCCTCAGAAGTAAATAACAAATATTTCTATATTCTATGTTTTTTTTTAATATGCATGAGGGTGAATGCAGGCAGGCCAAACCTGATGGGGAAGGCAGAGCAGGAAAAAAACTGCAGAAAAATAATAGGAGTTCAAATAGCAAGGATTCCCATATGAATGAAAGAAGGCAAAAGGAAGGTTCCTTTCTGTTAACTATCTGCACGTCCACATGCATAGGTGGAGGGATTTTCATTCTCTTTCCCATCCTTTTCTCCAACTATATGCATGGATGTATATGTGAAAGTATACTTGTGCACTGCCCTGAGCTGGATAGCCCAGAGTAGCCTGATCACATCAGATCTCAGAAGCTAAGCAGGGTGGGCCTTGGTTTAAGACCCTGGAACCATCATTGGCAGCCTGTGCCTCGCCAGCATAAACTGAAATTAGCATGGGACCAAGATAATAGTCCTAAAATCACTGCTGACTGTACTCCCACTATGACTGATTCAGTACTGTGTGCCACCATCACTTATGCAATATTGTGCACTAGCACTTTATTAATGTTTTATAAATGTTCTGTTTTATTTATTTTAATTTTTATGTAAGCTGCCCTGAGCCTGCTTCGGGAGGGAGGATGAGGTATAAATTGAATCTCTCGATATAATAATTCTGTTTTGGTATGAATGCGCCACACGCTCCCACAGCCTTTGGCTCCCTCAGCTGCCACTCTGAAGGTCTGCCAATCCCCTGGCTGCATTGCCTCACTGCGTTGCCTCGGCCCTGCACACAGAGCTGGCAGCCAGCATCTCACCCTCAGTCTGGAGGGAGCCGGCGAAGGGGATGGATGCTCCGCCGAGAGAGCGGCAACCCCTCCATGGAAGAGAAGGAGGCAGACCTAGCGAGTGGCGGCAAGCAGGGGAAGCACTCACCTTCGCTGCCCATTGCAGCCCCTCTCCCTAGGCCACAAGGCTGGCGCTTCATCAGGGTGATAGCTCAGCGGGCTGCACTGCAGAGAAGGCTGCCCAGCGCCTTTCAAAGGCTCCCCCAACTTCCTTCAGCAGCAGCAGCACCAGGGAGGGTCTGGCCTAGAGGAAACAAGCTATGGCTCCTGGAAACCCGGACTCTCTCCTGAGGAAGACACTTCTCTTGGCTCCTGTGTGGGACTAACTGTGACTAACTGTCCCCTCAGTGCCTGTTGGTAGGCAACCAAGCCTGCTTCTGTCAGTAAAAAAAACAAAGGACTTTCAGCATAACCCCCTTCTCCACCCACTGCCAGCTTGGCCACGTTCCTGTCAGAATAAACTTAAAACGACTCTCTCCTTTTTGCCTCCACCACGGCTGGCTGGCTAATGAGGTGGGCCAGCAACCATCAAACCATTCTCTTCGACCCCCTGTTGTGCAGCTGACTTTTCCCTAGGGTTGCCAATCTCCAGGTGGGACCTGGAGATCTCCCACTATTACAATTGATCTCCAGATGACAGAGATCAGTTCCCCTGGAGAAAAAGGCTGCTTTGGAGGGTAGACCCTATGGCATTATCCCCTGCTGAGTCCTTCCATCCCCCCCCATCAGACAGGTACAATGCCATAGACTCCACCCTCCAATCCAGCCATTCCCTCCTTGGGAACCATTGTTGCAAATCTCCAGGTGGGGGCTGGAGATTACTCAGAATTACAACTGTTCTCTAGGAAGGAGGGGGAGGAGATGGAAAGCTGAAGCCAGGGGACAGATAACAGTAGGTTGATGGTTGGCTGGGAGGGAGATAGGGTTGCCAACTCCAAGTTGGGAAATTCCTGGAGATTTGAGGGGTGGAGCCTGGAGAGGGTGAGGTTTGAGGAAGGGTGGGACCTCAGACAGGTACAATGCCATGGACTCCACCCTCCAAACCAGCCATTCCCTCATGGCAAACCACTGTTGCCAGTCTCCAGGGGAGGGATGGAGATCACACAGGGGAGGGATGGAGATAACTCCAGGGGAGGGATGGAGATCACAGAATTACAACTGCTCTTCAGATGGCACAGATCAGTTCCCCTCGAGAAAATGGTGGATTCTGTGTCATTATACCCTACTGAGGTCGCCACAGCAAATTGACGCTCAGTGCCCAAGGCCGAGGCACCCACCCAGAGCCTCTTTCTAGAGCTCATTGTATTTATTTCCACAACGGGCCTTATTCCTAGTAAATAAATAAATATAAAATAGTATTTGGAAGCGTGACCTCCAAGGAATACCAGGGTTTGATGCAGAGGTAGGCAATGACAAACCACCTCTGAAACATCTCTTGCCTTAAAACAAGTGTAGCTCACCACCTTGTGGTGCATAACACTAAAGAGCTAGAACTTCTGGCTGCCAGACAGTCTTAGGATCTCCTGGCTATTTTACACACAATGCCATACAATATTAATAATTAATACATGTGAACTTATATAACAGTGTGCATATTAATTCTAAAGAAAAGTGAAGAGTCATCTTTCTTCCCCACCCCACCCCTGCATCTCACCAGCTGAAAGATTACTTGTGCCACTAACTCTGAGCTGCCATCTCATGGTACTGTTTTTTTTTGCAGGCTTCTCCAGGGACCATTTCCTTCTTGGCGCAAAATCTGGGCCTATGGAGAGACCCGCTTTGATCTACAGTCAGACATCTTCTTCGCTTGCCATCCTGTGCGAGGAAAAGTTCAGGGTGAATCGTACCTGGAAGGGATCCTGTTAGTACACATGACTTCTGCACCACACAGACAGCTTCTCCTATGGTGCCTCAAACATGACTCTCCAAGAACAGGCCAAAGTGACGCTCAGCTGTCTGCCCCCAATGGAGATAGCTCCCTGCAGCACCGCCCTGCCAGGAAGTGAACACACCGGTACATGCAGTTCCCATGTTGCGACTCAGCACAGACTCTGCAAATGAAAAGAGACGTCCTGGATTTTTGTGTCTTTGGAGATAGTATTCCAGTGGGGGGAGAAAGTCTCAGCAGCTGCCTCTCAGAAGATGGATCAGCTTGCCAGTGGATCCCCAGCCTTGAAGAATGTCATCACCTGCTATTTCCTGGTGTCCTTGTCAGGTAACGGATGACTCTGTTTCCCCAATTCTGAAATTAGCTACCCTATTGTCTAATCAAATTCAAAGTGCCTTATTATGCAAATTAATGTGAAAAGTAATTAGTGTGAACCTGCAAGAGAACGCACAAAGCAAAAATGGATTGGAAGTGATGCCAGTTAACAAAAAAAGAGAGATTATTTTACAGAGGGAAACCTATTCTGAAAAGTGGGAAATGCCTTCAAGGGTCAAAGGAAATGTAATTTGCCAGTGTAAAAGGCCTCTGTTGCAGCTCTGAGTGTTGTCAGTAATTGCCTATTAAGGTGCCCTAGCACTTTCTTGGACCAATACTAGGAGTTCTGGGCTCACCCGGTTTTCTGTGGTTTGTTGTCTGAATTCACTCTTTGAATATGCTTCATGAGCATGGAATTCTTTCTTCTTTTTTAGAAAAATACCATGGCTGCCATCAATGTGCATAGATTTTGAAAGGCCTCTGTGATACAACAGATCAGTCCACGACATGTAACACACTCGCTTGCCTGAGTGGCGACAGAGGCAGACCCAGCATGGTGTGGTGGCTCTCAGACTAGGATCTGGGGAGACCTGGGTTCAAATCTCCACTCTGCTGTGGAGGCTTGCTGGGGGGCCTTGGGTCAGTCACTCTCTCTAAGCCTAACCTACTTCAAAGGCATGTTGTTAAGGATAAAATCAAGGAGGGGGGGGTGATGTAAGCTGATTTTGGTCTCCATTGGGGACAAAAGCAGATAACAAATAAATGCATCTTAAAAGCAGAGAGTGGGTTTTTACTCGCATGGCCAGGGTTGCAAGGTTCTGCCAGCCACCAGTGGGGGGCGGGGGCCATAGGCTTGCCAGATCCAAGCTGGGGAACTCCTGGAGATTTGTGGAGAGAGCCTGGGGAGGGGAGGGACCTCGGTGGGGTACAATGCCATAGACTCCACCCTCCAAAGCATCCATTTTCTCCAGAGAAACAGATATCTGTAGTCTGGCGGTAAGCTGTAATTCTGGGAAATCCCTAGGCCCCACCTGGAGGCAGACATCCCTACAGGGCACGGCCGGCAAATTAGAACAGGAGCTTCCATTTACTGAAATCAGAAGATATTTGGACCACTGGCTTATACCAGAGCAGCAATTTTTCACTGCATATCATAGCAGGATGCTCTCAGTGAAGGGCACTATCAGGAGATTTTGAGGCTGGTTCTGTCAGGGAACTACCTGAGACAGTGGGGGGGGGGGTTAAGTCTCATAGAACTCCTCAGGCTCACTGAAAGGAATAACTGCCAGAGGCAAATCATATGAAGCTTCTAGATTTGGCCGGGGTGTGGTGTCAACCCTAGAAACGTGGCATTTGACTCTTGGCTAGTCAACAGATCAGCTGCAATAACCACCGCCTGATCTACTTTCCATCTATACTTTTGGTATTTCTTATGTTTTCATTGCCATTTGTAATACTACTTTGACTCTGTGATAGGATAAAGGCCAGGGCTATTTTTGGGCAGGAACGCACAGGAACGGAGTTCCGGCTGGCTTCAGAGTTGGCCATGCCCACTACAGCTAAAACATCTGTGCTCGTGGCTACAGAAGGAAGGCCTGGAGAGCAACCCCCCCCAGCGACTCCGAAGCAGGCAGGCCGGGGGGGGGGGGGTGGAAGGATCGGGGAATTTAAGGGCCAGCTTGCCAGGCATCCCACAACCGTGGGGCAACTGGGCAAGTCAAGGGAAGACACGGGTGTGTGGCCTAATATGCTAATGAACTGTCCTGTTGGGGTGTGTGGCCTATTATGCTAATGAGTTTCTGCTGTTGGGTGTGGCCTATTATGCTAATGGGTTTCTGCTGGGCTTTTTCTACAAAAAGAGCCCTGAAAGGCAGTTTTTAAAAAAGCAAAAACAAACGACGCCATAAACATCTTGCAGGAATTCTGGCTTCTTCTTGCAGCTCAGCCCTTGCAAAGCTGATTTTGCCAATAATACCACACACAAGAATTCTCTTTAACAGAAGCTGTTCCAATATTTGCATATCAGGTGGATGAGTGTACCTTGTTTAAGAGATACAGGATGCAAGTCCAGTGAAAGCCAAGTGCAATTGACTTCAGTGGGGATTGGTACATTTATGTGCAATCCTAGACATGTATGCTCAGAGGTAAATCCTACTGAGTTCAATGGGCTTTACTCCCTAGTAGGCATAGGGAGCAATCCTAAACAGACTGTCTTCTCAGAAGTACTTTTGTTGTTATTCAGTGGGACTTACTCCCAGGAAAGTGGCAGGATTACATCATTAACTGTCTCTTGACTTTACCTGCAATGCGTACCTTGGGAATTCTTCTTCCTTTGTGCACAACAAGATGATACAACATCTGCAGGGACAACCTGGGGACACCGCAGCCATTTTACTGCAGGAATTCTCTTGCTTTAAAAATGCTGTGGGGGCCCAATCCAGTTTAAGACTGTGGTGCAAGGAGACAAAGGGGGTCCTGCCTCTCCCCCCCATGCCATTTTTCAAGAGGCCAAACCCCTGGTGTATTCGGGTTCTTGAAAAATGACACGGGGGGGGGGGAGGTTGGGAGCCCCTCCTCCCCCATGCCACAGTCCTGAGTAGGGTTAGGCCCTGGAGCACTTCTGTGGGAAATGGCTGTGGCCTCCCTGTGTTGTAGGGTCACCATGTCGCCTGGCTGTGCCCTGTGTCTGAGTTGTGATTCCAGACAAAACTCGAGGAAAATCAGAGGCATTAAACTGGATGTATGTTTAGTTTAGGAATTGCGGTGGCTCAAGTGGTTAAGACCCTGAACTGCAGGCTGTGGAAGGTCGGTAGTTCAGCAGTTCGAGACCCGAGTGTGCCGCATGACGGAGTGAGCTCCTGTCTCTAGTTCCAGCTCCTGCCAGCCTAGAAGTTCGAAAGCAAGAAATTGCAAGTAGATAAATTCAGTGGGAAGGTAACAGCGTTCCGTGCGCCTTGGTGTTCAGTCATGCCGACCACATGACCACGGAAACATCTTCGGACAGCGCTGGCTCTTCGGCTTTGAAACGGAGATGAGCACCGCAACCCTAGAGTCAGATTCAACTGGCTTTCGAGCAAGGGAACCTTTACCTTTACCTTTATGTTTAGTTTACCCCTTTGGGTTGGATCCATCCATCCACAATGCCATTGACAGTTTTAGCTGTGACGTGATGGAAATACGGCCTGTTCTGAGGAGATGTGCTCTCCGAGTTGACAGCCTTTGGTGTTTGGGAGTGCAGTTTGACAAGATCAGTGCCTGATTTGGAAAGGCACCATAGAGGACTCAGCCTTCTTTCCCTGTCTTTTCTCAGGAATCATTTCTCATTCACGACTGTGTAGTTCCTGCCTTCAATGCCGGGAGCTGTTAGCAAGATCTTATGACTTTGTGTCCGTCTTTATGAGTTGATGTCAGATCTCACATGATCTGAGCTGAACAGTAACAATAATGAAGACAGTCACTTTCTAGAGAAAGATTGACAGAGTTATTTGGGATGCAAAGTCAGACACAGAAACCATGTGGCAAATTAAAGACATGTTCATTGCCCTCAAGACTATGGAAAGGGGAAGAGGGGATGGAGTTAAACTCATCCGTTCGGTTTAGATGTCACACAAAACTATGATGTTATTAATCTAACTATGGCGAACGTGATCTTTTGAATGCAGGCCACTCTATGAACTATGGTTAAGTACAGGACTTTTTTTGTAGAAAAAGCCCAGGAGGAACTCATTAGCATAATAGGCCATACCCAACAGCAGGAACTCATTAGCATAGTAGGCCACACCCATGACAGTACAGCTCATTACCATATTAGGCCACACCCCCGTGTTACCAGAAGTGTGGTCATCCAACCACACCCACCTTTTGCTTCTTATTCTGTTTACCTTGTTTGTTGTCAAAACCCAGGGCTTTTTTTGGAGCAGGAACCCTTTGCATGTTAGGCCACACACCCCTAATGTAGCCAATTCTTATGTGTTTCTGCTGTTGGGTGTGGCCTATTATGCTAATGAGTTCCTGCTGGGTGCGGCCAACTTGGGAGCCAGCCGGAACTCCGTTCCTGTGCGTTCCTGCCCCAAAATAGCCCTGGTTAAGTACATCAAACCATGAAGATAGCTTTGGAGGGCAGCCTTCTTGGTCTGCAGTAGAACAACTAGATTCGAGTCCAGCAGCCCCTTAGAAACCAACAAGATTTTAGGGTATGAACTTGTGAGAGTCAAAGCTCTTGTATCTGATGAAGGGAGCTTTGCCTCTCTAAAGCCTAAACCCTGATTATCTTGCCGGTCTCTGAGATGCTACTAGACTTGAATCTAGTTGTTCTGTATCAAACCAGAAACTGAAACAATGGTTTGAAGTTGGTTTACAAACCACAGCGAGGTGCTACCCTTACGGATGACCTAGTTACAGAGATGCCTCTGGCTGACTACAGAGGCTCAAAAACCAGGCTTTTCTTTCCTTCCACCATCTCTCTTCTGCAGTCTCCATTATCAATGAAACAAGAATTTGCCAAGGCCAAACAGGCTGTGAATGAGTGTTTGCAAGCAGACTGCTAGTTTGACAAACAAACCACCCTCTTTCTGAGTTGAGATGACACCCTGGGTAATTCAAAGTATCGGGCTGTGGTAGTTAATTTGTGAGGGCTCATTCACATGAAGTTAAACAAGTAAGGACAACGCCTGCGTGACCCACCCTTCAAGCCAGACGTCAAGTGCAAGGTATCTAAGAAGTGTAGGACAGGTAAACATTTAAACAGTATTGAAAGAAGGCATTGTGGGGCACCCCATAACCCAGAATCCCTTGCAGTGTCACACGGGATGGGAAGGCATAACCCTCAGGTCACCCCATGGCCACACGTGATCTGAGATTCATGTCCCAGAAATCTGTTTGACTATGCAAGGTGTCTTGGGCCTCAGGTCTTCGATCACATACTGCTTCACTGGCATCCTTTGGCTTGTACCCCTTAACTTCTTCCCTATGATGTAGGGACACTACCTTGGTTGGAAAAAGGGAAGGGGTAC